CAGCCAAACTTCTCTTCTAATATTAGTCTGTATTTGCAGCCATTACCCAGTGGTAGCAACACTGCCTCAGCTCTACCTCAGATCATCAGGCATTAGATTCTCATAAGACGTGTGCACCTTAGATTCCTTGCATGTGCAGTTCACAGTAGGGTTCACACTCCTATGAAAATCTAATGCAGCCATTGATCTGATGGGAGGTGGAGCTCAGGTGGTAATGCAAGCAATGGGGAGCATTTGTAAATACAGATGAAGCTTCACTTGCTCATCTGTCACTCACCTCCAGCTGTGTTGCTGGTTCCTAAGAAGCCCAGGGGTTGGGACCCCTGCAATAAAAGATTCATAAGATATACATGTCTATCACAATTTCTAAGAAGTACTGTAGAAAGGAATCTTATGGACATAATCAGGCATGTTTATACCTTAGAATCCTTTCATTTATACAGAGTAATAGGGTTCAGAATGGTGTAAACTTGTAATCCACTGAAAATGCTCATTCAATACCAGTTAACTAAAATGAGTTGATTGAGGTCCAATGTGACCAGTGATCAATTTAATTACATTCTTTCCTCAGCTTCTGCCTTTCTATGCATTGGCCAATGACTTTCTCATTATCTTAAGGATTACTACAACAGCCTCATAGCTATTCTGCCGATTTCCTCTACTGCTTCTTTGCAGACCATGTTCCACACAACAGACAAATAATCTTTACAGGATTTTAATCAAATCATGTCACTCCTCTACTCAAAATCTGCAAAACCTTATCAGCTTGGGATAAAAATCAAAGCTTTTATCATGGGTTACCCTACAGAATCTAGGCTCGAGGCCCTTGCCCCACCTTCTCTTCTGGATTCTTCTCACCTATTCTGTTCAAGCAATGATGACCATTTTGCTATTTCTTAAACAGCATGATAAACTTAATCTTGTTAAACTGGTTTCCACCTCAAGCATGCTCTCCACTTAAGGCCTTTGCGTTTCCTGTTTCTTACTATAATAATTTTCTACAAATCGTCAAATGATTCCTTTCCTCACATCATTTAATTATTAGTTCAAATATTACCTTGTCATCAACATGTTAAATAACATATCTTGTTCTTTCTTTTTCTTTCACCCTGTTCTGTTTTCATCTTAGTTTGTATCACTTCATATTAGGTCTATGAGGCCAGGAATATTATTATTATTTTTCATTGATATGATTCCTGATACAAATATTTGTTTGAATCAACAAAATGAATAAAGAATAAATAAATGAATGAATCCTTTTCTTTTTAAACAAGTTATTTCCAAAGATGCACAGTAATATGAATATGTAATAAGAATTTTTATGTCTCCAGGTAAAATCAATAAAGGTTTTCAGTTCAAGTTTACAATTTGAGCCACATCTTCATGGGAATCTTCGCTCTATATTGATTACTCTACAACACTTGGACCTTTAACTCTGTACCTTGCAAAATGCTCTTAGGAGTTTTTCTTATGCATATTATTAATGTTACTAATTTTTATTCATTCTTACCCATATTTCCATGTGACAATTTAAGTATCTTCCCATTTTCAGTGTTTGGCCTAGTAGCCCAGGAAGCCCTAGATAACAGGATCATGTCTCTTTAACTTGTGTGGTAAGGCACCCAGTGCCAAACCATATGCACACTGTACTGCATAAAAACCTTTTAATGATGAATTAGATTTGATTTCGGTTCATTACGCTCAGGTTTTCAGGCAATGTTTCGGATTTCATGCTTTTGTTTATAATGAGTCATGGTCCCCTTGACAAACAAGAGAGTAATTAAACTAACCAGGTTATCAATAGAAGCTTGTGATGGTCTCCTGTTGCACATGGTTATTTTATCTTCAATAATAGTTAGATGCCATAAAAGATTACAACCTGTTTGTGTGACTGGGAAAGAGAGATGAAAGCTTGGGAGAACAATAGTGAAAATACAATCTTACCTGTACCTGTCATGAGCAAAACAGTGTCATAATAATTGACAGAAACATGGAGTTTTATTTATAGATTTTTAAATATATTTCATTAGCTTTAATAGGTGATATGAAACTTTGTCTAACAAAGTAATTTTAAAATTACTAAATGATTTCTTGTCTTGTGGTTGTGAATATATGTATATATATGTATATATATACACACACACACATTCACACACATAGATACATAAACATGTATATATAAGATTACATATATACATAAGTATACATTATAAAGGTCAAAACACATATATTTTTTATACATATTATATACAATTGGGTGTGTGCATGTGTATATGTATGTATCTATATTATCTTGTAACATTTCTCATGCAAACATTTTTGGGAAATGTTATTTCATTATTTTTCACCAACTTATTAGCAAGTACTATAATTAAAATATTTTCCTTGAAATTTTTTTCTAGAACTATAAATAATAAGAATAAAAACACCACAGAGAAATAGAGGTGCAATAATTTCAAAAAGAAATATCACCCTTAAGAGAAAATGATGTGTTTAGTAGGGTATATTTTTAGATAAAAGACACTGTTCCACTGTAAGAATATTTATAGTTTCCATATATTGAAATATTCACTGACTATTGAAAAACATTAAACTGTACTTTTTCATTGCTTTCCAAAGAAACGCCAAATATATCTAGAGTGCAAACTTAGACCATATTTCTGAATGAACTAGCATTTGTATCTTCAAGATTCTAGTTGTTGAATAATTTTCTATAATGCTATTTGAAATATGAATTATAGTATGTTAAAAACTTGGTAGAAAAGGAAATATTTATGAAAAGACACATGCATAGAACTCCTAATGTTTACCTTCAAAATTTATTATTATTATTATTATTATTATTATTATTATTATGAGATGGAGTTTCACTCTTCTTGCCCAGGCTAGAATGCAATGGCTTGTTCTCAGCTCACTGCAACCTCCATCCTCCCAAGTTAAAACGATTCTCCTGCTTCGGCCTCCCAAGTAGCTGGGATTATAGGTGACCACCACCACACCTGGCTAATTTTTGTATTTTTAGTAGAGACAAAGTTTCACCATGTTGGTCAGGCTGGTCTTGAACTCCTGACCTCAGGTGATCCACCCACCCAAAGTGCTAAAATTACAGGTCTGAGCCACCACACCCAGCCCCCTCCAAAATTCTTCTACTTACAGTCCTTTTCATCTCAGTCAATAACCTTCTAGCTACTCAAGCCAAATTAAATCACCCTTGACTCCTCTTTTTTTCTCTATCTCACTTCAATCTGTCTAGAAATCTTATCAGCTCCAACTTCACAGTAGACCCCAAACCCAATAACTTTCCACCACTTCCACTGCTACCTACCCCGGTGTGAGCCACCACCTTCATTTGCTTTGCTTACTGGATCCCCTACTTTTTCCTGTGACTTTTATCCTAGCCTCACTATGGTCTTTTCTCAACACAGCAGCCAGTCATCTTTTCAAAAAACTGATCAAATTTTGTCTCTACTCTGCAGGGCTTCATTTGTCTTAGAATAAAAGTCAGTTCCTTGAAATGACCTGAGAGGTTGTACCCAGTCTTCCATCCTTTGTTTCTCTTTGTTCCTATTTCCTGCTCCTCTCCTTCTTTCGCTTTGTGTCGGCCACACCAATCCTGCTATTTCTTAAACAAGCTAGGCTAGCTTCAGCCTGTGTCTTATTGCAAGCTATTCCCTCTCCCTACAAGGCTCTGTCTCTAGATATCTACCTAGCTAAATTACTCATTCACATCTAGTCTTTGTGCAAATTTTACCATCTTGAAGAAGTCTACTAAGGTTGCCCTACCTGAAATGCAATTCATTCCCTTCTCTGATTCCTCTTACCTTGCAACTATAAGGGTTTTTATTTTTTAACTGTATTGTTTATCACCTTCTACTATGTATTTGCTATATTTAAACTATGTATTTAAACTATGTATTTGCTATATTTACTGCTTATAGTCTATCTCCCCATTTGTTACTTTACCTAGAATATAAGCTTCATCACGTCAGGGCAATTAACTGCTTTGTGCCTTGAGAAATGCCTGGCACATGTTGACAGCTCAATAACTATGTGAAAAAATTTTTTTAAAGTTACACTACAAAAAAAGATTTTTAAGCATCACCCTGTGCTAGGCACTGTGTATTGATCTTCGAATATACAGAGGTGAATCGGATATTTAACCCTGTCTTCAAGGAACTGAAAAGGAAGTCTGGCATATGCATAAATATAGTACATGATACAATACAATACATTTCTATCAATACGTGACAGAAAGTCCATGGTATGAGAGATCCAGATACTCAGAGGAGGGAAAACTTTTTCCAGCTAGAGCAATAGTGAAGAACATGGAGGCATTGACACCTAAAGTAGATCTTGAATCTGTGGAAAGGGAGAACAACAACAATAAGACAGAAGAAACTACATTTTAAAAAATCACTAAATTACTAAAGCATAGGAAAGAGGCAGGGAAAAACACAGAATATTTCAAGAGACCAGACTTCGAGTTAACATGACTGACTTGAATACCAGATTCTGCAACTAACTGCAGGACCTTGACAATTCATTCAACATCTCTGAACTTACATTTGTAAAATTGAGATAATACCCTCAAGCTTAGAGTATTTTTTGTGAGGAAATCGAGAACGTAAAGCACCTAGCCCAGTGACTGGCTCCCTGTGATCACTCAATAGATGAGAACTATTACTGCAGTAGAGTTGAACTGGAGTACAGATGAAGCGTTACCCTCACCAATGCCATTTTCCCAATAGGAAGCAAGGCCAAAATGTATTGCATTTACTCTGCACTCCCTGAAAACATTCATCTACTGTTCAACTTGAAAAATGAAGCTGAAAATGACTAGTCTTGTATTTGAAGCATAAAACACTGAAAATGTGATGCATTGGCCTATCAGGCATAGATTGCTTTGAATGTAGGAGGAATAAAAATATATGTGTGTCATATTTCTGCTGAGGATTATTTTTACTTATCTACTAGTATTTGTTTGTTTGTTTCCTTTACAGTTGCTCCTACTATTCAGGAAATTAAATCTGGCACCGTGACCCCCGGACGCAGTGGCTTGATAAGATGTGAAGGTGCAGGTGTGCCACCCCCGGCCTTTGAATGGTACAAAGGAGAGAAGAAGTAAGGACTTTGTGATTATTACTGTGTTCTGAGCACTTTGAGCTAATGTGTTTGTGTTTCAAATACTTACTTTAGGCAATTTCTTTAACTGGCTTGAATGATTCTCAGCAGCCTCCTCTCCAGCAAGCAAACTGAAGGGGCCCACGTGGGAGGGATGAGTAGCTAATAACATCCAGAAGAAATGTCCACTTTGGTTTGTATGATCTCAGAAATGCCTGCAAATCCCCAGTCACTGATGAGTTTCATTTCTTCCCCTCCCTCCTGGAACAGCACACCATTGCTCTTGCTGGCAACTCAGTTTATTTGGAAAGTAAACCAGCTCTTAAAGGACTTGAGCACAGCTTCCACAAGAGCACTTCAAAAGCAATAGGAGTTGCTGTATTTGCCTGGCTTCCTTGATAAGCCTCAACCCTTTCAACTGCCTGATTCTCCCACAAGATAGTTTAACATTTTGTTTTATAGGATACTGTGTTTTAGATATTCTATCACCAAAGAGACTGTAGAGGGGATAAAATACATGCCTAAAGGACTCATCAATGGGATTTTAGCACTGCTCTAAGTTCAACTCTGTATGACTACCCCTTTAAGAAGCCCCAAAAACCTTGGCAGGAGCTACTGAATAAGATAAGTCAGGAGTTGACAACTTTCTCTTTACTTTCAAGCAGTAGAATCATTCAGACCTCTTCAACTGCTGTTATCAAGCCATCAAAAAAGCACAGGACTCCTATGGGTGAACTGGAGGATATAATGCAGAGAAGAGGAAATTATCTATGCTGTATAGATTCTGCTTCAAAACTAGGGAGGGATCTATTCAAGAAAATGCTAGGTTAAACCATATGAAATCGCCACTTTTGAAGTAAAAAAAGCCAAATGTTGGCAGTTCTATACTGTGCAACATTTCTATTTTCATGCTTCTATAAATAACTGCCCAAGACTGGGTAATTGATAACAGAGAGAGATTTGATTGACTCACAGTTCCACATGGCTAGGGAGGCCACAGGAAGCTTACAATCATAATGGAAGAGGAAGTGAATACATCTTTCTTTACCAGGCAGCAGTAGAAAGAAATGCCAAGCAAAGGGGGGAAAAGCCCCTCATAAAACCATCAGATCTTGTAAGAACTCACTCACTATCACAAGAACAGGATAGGAGAACTACCCCCATGATCTAATCACCTCCCATGGGTCTCTCCCTCAACACATGAGAATTACAATTAAGATTAAATTCAGGATGAGATTTTGGGTAGGAACACATCCAAATATTATTTACTTATGTAATGACTCATAACCAATTGCAGCTAAATATCTGAACAGAAAACTGGTGAAATTATATAAGGACTTAGATATTACCACAAAGGATAAGAATGTATGTCATATAAGCAGGTATTTTTTTCTGGATTTGAAATAAAAAGATTTGTGGAAGACTATATCATTCCTTAAAATCAAACTTAATAATAAGGAAGACTATCCCTATAAGTCTCATTTCTTCTGACTGATTTTACCTAGAAATTTTTTGAGCTATTTTATATTCAACCTTTTCTATAATTTTTGTCATTTCATTTTAGATTCTTTTTACTAATTTATATGTTTTACCAATCTAAATCTGCCTCTTTGTAGCTTGGTGGAAGACTCTATATTTTTATGTACTGAGAATTAGATAAACTGGTCTATGGTCACTCTCATTTCACTCTACAAGATTATATATCTGCCAATATAACCTTTCTCAGATTTTGATAGCACAGGTTGAGAAGTTTCAGTTTGTAATTATCTATATGGACAAATATCCAGAAAAGTGGTTCTCAATCCTTTGTAAATTATGGAAGTCATAGTTCATGTACAATCTTATTTGGAAGCCCAAGAAGTATATTTATGAACACAGCACTTCTCTGTTAGATGCTGGGTAAATGGCACCTCAATTCTACCTGCTCACAACCCTCCTCTAAATTAGGACATCATCGCAGGAGTCCCCCAAATCGCTGGTTCTCTACAAAACACTGTATAAATAACACTCACAGACTATTTTACATACCTTTCAAAGTCATTTTTAATTTGTGTCATTAATTTCTTAAAAGCTACCAATCAGAGCTCCTTTGTTATAGGCCATTTTGTTTCCAATGCTTTGTGAAGCAATGTCCTGGATTTTCTTTTCTGCTCTCTCTTTTTCTCTTTTCTAAATTCAGCAACCATTGTCAAAAAAAAAAAAAGCTACAATAATCCTCAGCCCACTTTCTTGGCCTATAGTAAATATAGAAAAGGACCAATTGGTGCCCACAATCATAGCTTCAGTGATTTTTTTTCCTGCTGTACAGATGGACTACAGCTTTTATTAGATTTTCAAAGGAGTTCAGAACCATTTGCTAAAAAGAAAAAGGTAGATTGATTCTCCCCAATCAATGTCCTCCCCAACACACACACCTAGAAAAATGCAGCTGTGAAAATCAAATGCACTTGTAAAAGGCAAACATATTTTCAGTTCAGAGTGAAACATACATTTATCATCTTTAGGGTTATATTTCAGGAAATATTCAAATTCTCAAATATCATGGTAATGAATAATTTCCTTTCAAAATTAAAGCAAAGCAAAGTTTAGCATATGCAGGGAGTAGGGAAGAGGATTCTGGTTGCTGAATGCGTGTACTCACTGTGTAGATTCACCGTAAAGGCCCAGGCCGTTCAATTATTTATCTCATCAAAATAAAAAGCTATCTATTTAGCCAACACCTACTATTTGACAAGTAATGTTCTAAGTTGCTAATATTTACCCATTTTACTCTTATAACAAACCTGTAAGGTAAATATTATTATTCTTAACTTTTGCCTGAGGAAACCAAAGCATAGAATGCTTTTAAATAATTTGCACAAGTTCATACAGTTAATGACAGAGCTGGGATTTAAACCCAGGAACTCTTACAAATCTTCATGCAGAGTCCAAGGGTTTAACCCCTATACTATGGCACCTAGTCTAGGTCAAGGCCTTTAAGAGTCTATCAAAACTAATTTGAATTGTCAATGTGAAATACCAAGGGTAAAAGCATTTCGGGTTGTTTATGGATTTGCAAAATAAGTAACTGCACATACACTCACTTATAATTTCTGAATTTATTTAGTCAACAACACAGAAAATGGAGTCAAGAGGAACACAGCAGAAACATACAGCATGTTTCTGAGTTGTCTTCTTGACCTCTGAGGTCTTTAGGAACATGAAACTGTCAGAGACCCTATCAGAGAGGAATAGTTTATATCTGCAAGATGTAGAGTTTTGTTTCCTAGAGATCTTTTATGATTTGGGGCTTACATAAATACTCAGAAATAATTTATACAATGGCTTTACTTGTATGTAAGGAATGTTTATAAATATTCATTTCTGTTAAATCAAAATCTTCAAAGCCAACTCTTCATCGAGATAAACATAAACAAGTAAACACAAACAAAAACCAGAGGCAGTGCCTGAACATCCATAGCCCTATCTCTGCCAGCAGTTCTTCAACATCCTGTAAAGTCCATTTCTGTCTACTGAGAGCAATCAGTTTAAAACCATTAAAAGACTCTAAAATTAAGCACAATTTAAAGAATAGAAAGAAACATATGCTTACTGAGGAAAAAACACTTTCCAAGTTCTTTGAATTCTTTTATCTCATTTATTCCTCAGACCTCTGTGAGATAAGATTATCATCAGTTTACTGATGACAAAACTGAGACACAAGAGACTTAACCTGAAAAGCACTCAGTTTTAAGTCACATCAAGTCACCATTTTAGATGTGATAACCTCTCGGCCCATGTTCTTTCCCTTGTATCTGATGCCATTATGAGTTACCTATTGCTAAGTAACAAATTAACCAAAAACTTGGCAGCTAAAACCAATAAGCATTTACTATCTCAAGCAGCCTCTGTGGGTCAGGAATCCAGGAGCAGTTTGGCTGGGTGATTATCACTCAGTCTCTCACAAATTGCAGTCAAGATGTCAACTGGTGCTATCATCTGAAGGCTTGACTGGGGCTGGAGGATCTGCTTCTGAGATGACTGACCCACATGCCCAGCAAGTAGTTCTAGTTATTGGCAGATGGACTCAGTTAATTGCCACATGGATGTCACCACAGGCAACGAGCTTCATTCGGTATTAGGGAACCAGGAGAGAGTTAAATAGAAGCTGCCATATCTTTTATAACCTAGTTTCAGAAGTCATGTTCTGTCATATCTGTAATATGTTATTGGTCACATGGGGCAACCTTATTCAATGTGCTTACATGCCATCAAAAAATTTGGTTAATTGTACTTTGGATGCCCTGAAATTGTCAATGTGATGGGGACAGCACAGAGACACAGATATCATCTGATGCCATGTTCAAAGATGGCTCCTACACTGTCTCTCTCATGCATTATCTAAATATTTTTTATATCAGAAATATTAGTAATTTGGCTTTTAGTTTATTCTGCCACAAGACTGGCTAATGTTACATATTAGTTATTAAAATATTACCTCTTAGGATAAGATAGTCATTTTTAACATCTTAGTTTCTTTCAGCACACCTGAAATAAAGAGTATCAATTGGCTTAATTTTATTCTGTATTTATTTAAGTCTTGGGAAAATTAGAGTTACACAGAGAGCCAAGTTTTTAAACTTTTTTCCTTAATAATATAGAATGTTGTTAAGAAGAAATATACTCTTTATATACATATGCAGTGAAAAGACAATTTCAGAACATCCAAAGTATCATTAAGCAAATGTTTCTGATGATATAAAATTCAATTAATCTTTTATTTGAGAATAGTGCATTACTTTAGGATTAAGGCTAAAAACATAAATTTTAATACACTGGCATTTCAATAGGTATTGCAAAATCAGTAATCTGTATTACTTTGTGAAGATGGTATTGTCATCTTGTTGTAGATAATAATTTTGCTATTTTGCTTGCACCATTGAATTTCCTCCTTTTTTTCTGCATTAACCCAAATCGAAGGCTGGGGTCTAGAAATACATGCTTTCTGATTTCTCATGACC